CAGTAATTCTCGTTGGACTCAACTAGCTCATATGGCACTTGAAGTACATAGTATTACTGCTATGTCGGCTGAAGTTGAACGTGCATTTAGCAGGTATGTGATGGTTTATACCATATTCAAATTACTGTAACTATGGTTACAGAAATACCTAAGATTCTAATTCTGATTCCTGATCACATTTAGTAGTAAAAACCTGATTACCGATCGCCGTGGTCGCTTGAGTGATGAGGTTATTGAGGCTATTGAGTGTATGAAATCATGGCGGAAGGCAGGATTGATTGCGGAGAAGCCACTGGCAGATGTAGAGAAGATGCTTAGAGATTTGGAGGAGAGGGCAACAATATTAGGTCAGGTAACTGGAACAGGTTCAGGTTGCTCAGAACTGGGATCGGATATGAGTACACAGCTTGGTTGATTGATCACCTCGGTTGATACCTGGTGTCAAAGTATCATGTTATTAGCATTTGAATTAAAGTCTCTCATGTCTTCAAGTACCGGCTTCACATCAATGATATTTAAAAATAATGGGTCAATTAAGATACCTGTAGGGCCCGGCCGTCCGTCCCGGGCATGGGTTAGGACGGACTCCAATTTGGCGTCCGTCCCGGGCAAAGGCCTCAAATTCGGCGTCCGTCCCGTCCTAGGCGAAAGACGGACGGACTGGACGCTTGGGAACACTGCGTACAAGCGACAATCTCATTAGTACGAGAACCTGCGGTAGCTGAACATGAGGTGGTTAGTCGGGGGGGGTTATATGTAGGTATAATACCAGAATTCAGCAACTAGTTTGGGGGAATGTGCAGGGTCAGCCATTCATTTGTTTGTGCAAGTCTTGCCTGTCGGTATCACACCATGACTATTCGGAAGAGCAAGGAGCCACCTTGGAGCAACGGCGGGCCACTTGTAGGATTATGGAAGGCGCTACCGGCCGACATTGTGATTGTGTTATAGGAGGGAAGGATGTAGGGGACGGGTCTACAAATAGTAAAATGGTAGAAATAGTCCGGAGATTGACGAAGCTCTCGCGAGGTTAAGGGAGTTTCTTAGAACCAAGTGGAATTATCAGGGCTGTGGTGGGGTGCTCAGAGTTTGGGAACATAAGGGATGTTTTATTATTTCACAAAATGTGATGTCTGTGTGTACGATACACCGGTATAGAACATCAGTCGTACCGTAGAAATACCTAGGGCCCGGATTACAATCGTCGCCACATAACCTTATCTCTAAATGCGGACACGCCTCTGGGTCATCCATCCCTTGTCCTATTAGCTGATCATTCCCTATGCGAAGTATATAATTGCGAAGTATATAATACAAGGCAAGAGTCTAGATACAGGTATATTCGCTTCTATTCAATAGCAACAAAGGGAGTGACAAAAGAATGAGTAGATACTGGCATCGCCCGACGAATGAAGGAACCCCTCCCAAGTAGCATGGATATTTTCCCCAAGGTTGTAACAAATTTGTAAACAGACCTTGTTGTTGTTTTTTTGACGTGGGCTCTTCTTCTTTTCACCGGAATCTTAAGTGAGCCACTAGGTAATTCTGAAGGCTACTATCACAGAGGGGTTTCCACTATCGCAAACTCCCCACACATCCCTAATAGAAATCGACTTTCAGACCCTCTCGAACAACCCTCTCATACTAGTAGACGGCGGACCCCAATCCTCCCCCAACACCACAAGCATTACAGAGCCACTATTCTTACTACAGAGGTATGACCGACCAGTAACCCATGCATGGTATCACACTAGGAATCCAAAACCACCACCTTTGACCCTTGAGACAACTCAGAAATAAGTAATCTTAGGACCAGAAATATGTCTCGAGTGATATACAGTGATTCACTCTGACAGGTGGCATGGGTAGATAGGGAGCAAGCAGTATAGAATTCGTAGATCCCAATACAGTTTCCCAAGGAGCAAACTTCTCCATCCCGGAAACCACAGCAACGGGTCATCATACAAAGCCTCGTACGTGCTCCCCGGTAATATCTCACTATCATTTTTCGCGGTTTGCAGCACAACAGAGAGGGCAGTGAACGGTGGGGGGCAAACAGCCCACCGGACCTGACGTTTGCCACCAGATTTTTCGGTGCACAGGTTCCAGCCAGTATTGTCCTGCCGCCCCCTCCGCTCGTTTGCCATATCCCCCCACCCCTATTCTTGTAGTAACGGAACTGCTCAAGTAGGGTGGGCACCGCCTCCCACTCATAATCATACAGTAAGAAATCTGGCCATCTAAATAACGTCTCCACAGATCCTCGAGGCCCGAAAACCCTCTATTGGCCGGGTCACGATCGGGAGAACTCATCCGTACCGTACCTCTCCAAGTCGAGTATCACTGTCGCGTCCAGGCTAAATTCCGTGAAATTCGGCCTACAAGTGAAGGGATTACTCGTAGGTGACTGCAGGTACAAGCTAACCTCGCATCTCCCGGCACCTGTTCCCAAAATCACTCTTAATAACCCCATCCGCTCTGCAGCGCGGGAAATAAAACGTCCCATGAACATGCAAGGCTGAAGGTGACGCTGGATATTATACCAACTTTACTCTTTACCGGCAGTGCACTGTACTCCTACTATTATATGTGAAGATCAATCTCAAATATAGCGTAACGACAGATCCAAAAATGGATACAGTCCGCACTCTACTCGTACTAGATGACACCATCATAAACTCATGAGCTCCTCCCTCAATACAGTACTATGCCCCTTTAATAGTCTATCTTCCCCCCTTCGTTCTTCCTCACCCACAACTCGCCCCAGGGCCCAGGCCAAACCCTCTCATGACGTCGACCTCCCAAAAACCTACCCCATCCCTCGAGACCCTGGAACCGCCAGCAGAAAATACCCCCAACTTCACTCTGCTGGCAAGGATCGACGTCAAATCCAGGGCGCGGATTATCCATCCCACTCGTACAGGGACCAGTACCGGTATTCCCACCCCCCAATCCGTCTGCTGCTACTTTTAGCCATCGATTACGTCCGAAGTGGTAATATTCTGGTATCAATATTCACCCCATAATCTGCGAGCAGATCTGCCCCTTCCCCGTGGCGGGTAACGGCCCTAGATCGACATTCAGATCTTCACCAAAGGGAGTGCCCGCACCAGATGATCGGGAGGTCTTGCAGTGGCGTAACGTGTTAAAACCCTCTACCCGAGTATGAGATTGCCACACTTGAACCTGAACTGTTGATACCGGTGCTGGCGCTCATCCCCTCCTCCGATCTCGTTGTCTTGTCCTATCTAGGAGCATCACACCAGAAATGCTTGCACCCTTAGAAAGTGGCAAATATAGATGGAAGAATTTCTCGGTCAACTCGCTTTTTCTCTCCCTATCACGTGACCACCAATTTTCTTCAAAGCGCGACATCCAACGCGACACCTCTAGCCCCTCTCCAATAAGTTAGTCCGACGAGTGCTACGAGTATGATACGCCCAAGAGTTGGGATCTGGAAAGTATCTCTCCTTATTATAGCTGGGTAGACGATGGATGACCGACGCCAATTCCACCAAATCTCTCGGACACAGCTGACGGACTAAGTGATGGCCTCCGAGTCACGATTTCGCGCCAACGTTCCCTAAGTCGCGGTCTCCGAAGCTTTTCGCGAACACCGGATCCAATCTCAACTTCAGGAGCTAGCCAAAGTGAAAACAAAAAAACGCCCAAATCAATTCTGTTCAGCAATCATGGCAAGTTTACCCACCCCTGCCCGTACTGGCGCCGTCAAATCACCCAAGAAAATGGTCCGGATACAGCACGCACCCACCGAACGAGCCCCTAAATGGCAGAAGTCAGCCACAGCCCGATAAATAGGGGTGTTTCTTCGCTTAGTGATCGATTACCTACCGTATTAGTACGAGTAAAATAGCGGCAGAATCCCCGTACTCACGTCCCCTAATGAGCTCCTCCCCGTTCCTGAATGCTGCGGCTGACCGCAGTCCCTCCCTACTTTTGTTCCTCACTCATGTGCTTGATACCAGTACGGTACGAGTACCTGGTACAAGTACCGGCAGGGGTCCACCCCATGCGGGAGAAAGTCCCTGGTCTACAAATGGTCCATAGACTGGTCCGTCAGGTCAGCGCTCTGAGGCCGAGTACCGGTACCGTACGGAACTGTACTGCACTGAACTCATGCAGTGCACTGCCTGTCTCTCAATCTCAGCTCACACCAACAAGCGGCTATTCTTTCAACCCAGCCAGCCCTACCGGCTAGAACACACGACCGCTCGCCGAAACCCTAACCTAGCAATTGCGTTACTGGGACCCTTCTCCTCACAACCGCACTCCAGTACGGTAGTGCCGATATCCATCCCCCGATAGGATGATTTCGCAGTCTCTATTTCTCTATCGGCTTCGTCGGTTGAATGTTAATACTTTGACAATTATTTCCGCACCAGTCAGTCTCCTCGATACCGATCGTTAGTAAGCGGCGCTGAGGCTGGACTCTGGTGCAGAAACAAGCGTTTCGGCGCGTCACACAGCCTTGCACACCAACATGCAAGCCGCAGGGTCGCCCCCTCCCACCACGCTTAGACTATTCGAGGCTGTGGATGCCAGCGAGAGTGCATACGGTATTAGCCAACCCACCCTGCTAGACTAAGCCTCGGATCAAGCTGAAGATTAAAACCATTGCCCAACTCGATCCGTAAATCTCCTCAGTTCGGGATTAGCTGTCCTGCAAAAAATAGCCAATTTGCGCAATGGAGCAGCTAGATCGGCGAACCTCTGCGCTCGGAACAAGTCAGCCACACCCCACCACCCAGAAGCTATCAGGTACTTTGCTAGGAAGATGCGTGCGGTGGGGAACGACTCGGGATTTGGATTGGGAGAATATAAGCAAGCGGAGTCCCCAGAGTTCATCCATTTGCGAAGCGTTAGGACTCCACACTAGCCTACCTCCAGGACCCCGCAGCGAAAATCTCGGACGGTCGATTCTCCAAAGGACCCAACACTCGATATCGAAAATCAGCAAAAACTCCCGATAACGAGTCAGGATGGATCCCATGGGTGGTTTAAGGGATATTAACTCCCTGTCTGATAGGCCCAGAAGGCCACTGAGCTCTGCTTTCAGCGAGCATGAGGAGGATATGGCGGATGTTGAATTTGCGCCTCGTGCCGATGCAGCACTGTTGGAGGGTAGGTCAACCCGGATGCCCGATGGAGCCTCAAGAGTCCCGAAACTAATTCCTGCTGTAGAAGGGGATTACACTTCGTCCGACGAGGACAGCTCGCCAAAGAGGAAGGGTCGAAGGACGGGGCATGCGAGAAATTCCTCCACAATATACGACAGAGCAGTATCAGCCAAGGTCAATCCCACACCGATCAGCCATCTTGAACCACCCGAAAGCAAGATTCGGATCATGATCAGGGATTTCAGGAAAACCCCCGAGAAGCCCCTCTCCCGAGCCCGGGTGGTCTTCCGCGCCTTCTCCCTGATCGCTTCGGGGACGGTTCTGGGAGCCGCGGCGCACATGCTCTGGCATTACATCGACACAAAAGGCGAATTCTACGACGGAAAATTGATCTGGCCAGAGAACCTCACCCTCATGCCGACAGCTCTGATGTTGGCTATAGCTGCTTACACATTCCTGACCGACTTGGGCTTCCTCATCGGGAGCGCCTGGAAAGACGTAACGATTCCCCAATCCATCCCAAATCCTCCACTCCCATGCATACTAAATGAGCAATAGTTCCGGTATCTGAAAAACAAAACCGCCGCCATCATAGTCGCCCTAAATTCATTCACCAGTTGTATCGGTTGGATCCTCTCAATCCTGTTCTCCCTCCAACAACGGGACAGACCAACCCTGTGAGTTTTCAACCTCCCCCCCCCCCCCAAACAAGCAATCGACCCCACTAACAACCTCTCCACAGACTCTGGGTTTGCTCCGTGAAAGAGGTTCATTTTTCAGCTGACGAATCGGAGGGTGCTCCTATGGACTTTGCCCTTCATTGCATTGAATTAGTACGTTCCCTTCCAGCTCCACCAGATTCAAATTCCTAACCAGTCTCCGCAGAGGTTCACGTGGATCGCCGCCTGCATTGTCGCCGCTGCGCAAGGGCTTGTAGTATTCACCATCGTTTTCAGCTATTGCGGCGGCCGCCCCAAGAAGCCAAAGTTTAAGGTGCCGAAGCACGTCCGCTTGGCAGGACGCTGGTCTTCATTCACAGGCGGAGCCTCTGAATGGGTGAATGAAAAGATGAAGCTATTTAAAAAGTAAAAAAGAGATAATTAGAGCTGCCCAATTTCGATGTAAAATAATGTACGATTAGAAAAGGAGTTTTGGGGGGTATCATTTTCTTGAACCGGGAGCAACCGACATTGGTAAATCTAATGAGAAAAGAGTAAAAATTACGTTATGAGCAAAGAGGGAAGAAGTCGAGACTTGTTCTTATAGATCCCCATGCTATACTCCCCGTCCCTCGTTTTCTCGCGCGGCCGTCAGCATTCCCCGGCACGGACATTACACGATCGCAGACTCAAGCACGCATCCAGGGTCAAGACGTTCCAATTGTAGATTACCACTGCCACAGCATACCGCATTATCTGGAAATACTGGAAATGGAGCTATTACAAAAGAGGATAAAAAAGCAAGTTGCCACTAAGGTAGTGCAATCCATATGTAACTAAAGTCGGGAGAGTGACAACGTACTTATGACCGCAACAATAACTTCCTGAGAATTAAAATATAGTAATTCTGTCGTAAGGTTGATGCTCATATCCGGATTCCTAATTTCAAAATTGCATAATTGATGAGGCTAAATTATCTGAGATCAGAATACCATTATTTTGAATCCTTCATACCAGTCAAGCCCTATTCTAGTCAGCTCCTTATACTGCTACGCAATTTTTTCTCTCCAAATCCCCTCGTGAGAATGAATATTGGTACACTGTTAAATCCAATATCCAATTCCGAGTCAACTCCTGCCATAGGAGAAGAAGTTCCACATTGCCCGCAGCCAGTTCTGGGGGTAACATGATATACGAGAAAGCCAGGAAGACCTCCGAAAGCAATACAGGAAAGCCTGCAATTGAGAGCAGAGTTTAGTCAAGAGAGGCACCGGTATCAGCATTCCTATTCACGTGAGTTCAAACTCATAGTTCTCAAATGGTGGCATCATGCACGGCTAGGACAGGGAGAGAGTGAGAGAGCACCCATTATGAGAGAGGTAGCAGCCCGCTATAAGATTCTACTTACAACTTTACACAATTGGCGTGTAAATGAGGATAGTATAGTTGCAAGTAAGAAGGGACTGCGGAAATCACAGTCAGATTCACGGCATGTGCGTTGGCCAGAATTTGAAGATCACCTTTATGAGAGATACCAAAAAAGGCGTGAGGAAAGAAAGACAGTAAGGAGATTTGGTTGTTTCAGCAAGCAAAAGAGGCCTATCACGCATGCTACCCAGATGCCAAAGAGGACTTCCGGTGTTCTGATGGGTGGTTCCAAGGGGTTTTGACCCGGTACACGATAACTTTACGGTTTACGACAAATAAATCACAGAAGGTACTCGAGGATTACCTTAATGCAATCCTTTCCTGGATGCGTTTCAACCGTCGTAACTCACAGCTTCGTTCCTACAAGATTGATCAAGAGTATGAGGTTGGTAGCTATCAACTAGATAGTATTTGCAATATTGATGCGACACCACTCCCATTTGAGTATCTCGATGGCCAAATATATGCTGATAAGGGAAGTGAGTCTGTTCAAGTGAAAGCATCTAACAGTGGATGGGACAAGTGCCAAGCAACTCTGCTCTTGGCTATTTTTCGAAGCGGTCAGAATAGAGTTCGTCCTCTAATCATTTTCAGAGAAAAAGAAAAATATGAAGGCTCGCGTGGACATAATTACAGACAGAAAAGAGAGGAGGAAACAAGCTGATATGATAGTACGGTTGACGTCAGATGGGATGAGAATGCATATGCAAATTCAGAGCTTCTGGTTGATTGGTTTCAGCAAAAATTAATCCCAACGCTCCCTCCAGGACCACGATTGCTTGCACTTGATGCTGCAAAATTCTATTCTACTGAGCAAGTTTTATCAACCCTACGATCTCACGACATTACTATACCCTCATTGATTCCATCCGGCTGTACAGGACTAGTTCAACCGCTGGATGTTTCTGTGAACAAGCCTTTTAAGAACTATCTACGGGAAATTCTGGATGACTATCTCGATAACTTCGAACAAACAAACCATTTCAACCTACGGGAAATCCAGAAAGCACATACCTCCACCATTGCAGAACGCCAAATTCTAATTACACATGCTGTTGTGGAGGCATGGGAAAAATTTACAACTAAACACCAACCTCTGATTGTGGAGACGTTCCGGAAGTTGGGTCTCACATTCCCAATTGATGGTTCATGTGATAGAGAGTTGTCAGTAAAGGGAATACATCCAGAACACCTGAAAATTGGAGACTGGAGAATCGGGGACTCAGGTGGCCAACCCACAAATGAAATGATCTGGGAACTGGAAAGTACGAGTACTAGAAAAGATAAAAGCCAAGATGAAGATCAAGACATTGAAATTATTGATCAGGAATAGCAGAAAAGTATTCTGGGCTTAAAAGGGGTATGTGGGATGGGTATAGGAAGTGGAGTACAATGGATTTGGACCCAGACCAGTATTACTGGAATTGGGTGGTACTATCATAAAAGGTATAATTCTGAACCTGATTTCCTTCAAGCCGTCTACTATTATTTCTAATTTTGCACAAAAGTACAGTATTCCCAATGGTCCAGTCTGTCAGTCATTCGAGTAAGACAGCATAGACTATTGCCTGAGGTCTATTCTTTGGGAGCAGCTAGGATGGACTGCTCCTCAGACTAGGTGGACCTCTACAGCCCTCAGTTGCCCTCGGCGGTCTCAGACAAATTCCCGCAGCCCCCTACAGCCCTCCCGCACCCTCTCTACTACCCCCCGGCACCCCGTCTACAGCCCCCTGCACTCCGCCTACAGCCCCCTGCAGTTCTCTTACAACCTCCCTTACCACCCCCCACGGCACCCACCATGATAGCCCCTCCCTGCAGCCCTTCCGGCAGCCCCACT